TAGGAAAAGACAGTCCAAACTTTCTCATAACAGCATTACTACTGACAGAGGCTTTAATTTTTCATGTTAAGGAATTAGGCCAAGCTTGTACTATAACTCTGATTTGGTGTACCCAATAAGAAGTTATCCCAAGAAGTCATGTCTCACAGGATGGCGGGGCTGGAAATTAATCTTTCTCTCCAGGCAGATGGCCCTTTGAAGTTTGAGAGTGTACAGCTTATCTCAGGTATAGAGGACAAACCTCATCACCACCTGATGCCTCTTCACGTACGTAAAATGTGTGTAGTGATACACTATATCTGATTGCTTTTGTAAAGTCTTTTGAGACCCATGGGTGAAAAGAGAAAGATGTTATTGTTTTACATCTGTGTAGAGCCACTTCTTAAAGGTAGCAAAGGGTTTGAGAAAACGCACTGCATCACACTCCTGTTGTGAAGTGTGTGTGTGAGGAAATGCAAAAATAGCCCCTTCTAAAATGGCTGGTTCTGGTTTTGAATTTGTGTGTATTGCAAAGGAAAAGGAACTGCTGATGTTCAGCAAGTGAACATCTGCAATTTCAATCCCGCGTGGCACAGACTAAGGCTGTAGGCTTCATTGCTGTGACCTTTTCTTCTTTTAAATACTGCCTGTAACACAGGACTCTGTTCTTTGCCCTTTGTGGTACTTGGAGACTTTCCATGGTTTAATGTGAAAAAGGGCTGTTGCTGAAGGAGTGTACTCATCCAGTTTGCTTTGAAGATGTGGCAGCAGAGTGTGTTTGTCTCCTTCAAGGGTGTGTCCCACAGCTGCCGGATGCCTTCACTTTCATGGATTTCCCCTTGTAACAGTTTGCGATTATACACAACCAATTAGCGCCGTCTCTGACACACACCCTGCAGGCAGCACAGACAGCATCAAAGGGAATCACAGTGAGGCACTTGGTACCAGGCGAGGACTGAGAGGTTGACTGTGCTCCGGTGCTTATTTGAAACAGGGATTCCAGATAAAGTACACCATCACACCCAAGTACTTTTTAGAAATGTAAATGTGTCCTTAAAATGAATGTCATTTTCTTTTGGACTACAACATCATTGCATCTCTGTGATTTCACTGAGGGCAAAGCTAAGGCTGCCTGAAGTATCTCATGTGTATTTTCATAGTTAGTAAAATAGCTTCAGTTTTATAAATAACTTGCACCGGAGTCTTTTTGTGGAATTTTTTTCTATATGACCGTAATGTTTTGATGTGTAAGCTTCTAATATGTCTTTACTTCGTTTAAGCACACGTTTTGTTCTTGGTAAAGGGTCACAGTACCTTGGAAGACATGAAATCTCTGTTAGTGTGCAGTATGGTAACTTATTATTGGCACAATTCCAAAGTTTTACTGAAGTGTATTTTTCTGTTGTTTGAACAGTCCAGTCAGACTAGAGTACAGATAAGCTTCTGCATACATGCAGTTAGTGTCACTGAATCTGTTTATCAGATTCAAAGGAGGAATGAGAAGGCAGAATCTGGGGGAGCAGAGAATAATTTTTGAAATTTATCACTGAAGAGTGTAAAAAAAATAAAAGCTATGAGCATACCATAGATTTTTGCAAGGAGAAAGAATTAGGACAGCACACAAGAATCAGTTTTCAAATTTACATTGTGAATCATCCCATAACAGCCCTTTAACACAACTGTAACAATAGTAGCAGCAAGAAATATAATTAAGTAAAGTAGTGCAAGAAATAAACACATTTTGATAAAAATACAGACCCAAAGTCAAAGCTTGCTCATGGGGCATCGACAGGTCCCCCTCATAGCCAGCCCCCAGAGGATGGGCATCTTTTGCATCCATGTCCTTTCCCAGAACTGCCATTTGACTCTCATGGCTACAAAAAGACCCTTGTCCCCTGACTGTCAGCCCATCTAACTGCAATTAGTATTAATGCATTAAAGTTGCCACCAAGGAATTTCATTAGGAAATAAAAGAAGGGTTTATTTTTATTCACCAGGCTTGGAAACTGTGGATATAGGTTTCTTTACTCTGATTTTTTAATTTAACTTTAATCAATTAATTAATTGACCTTACGATTAGCAATTGTAATTAGCAATTAGCAATTGTAACTCATTAATAATACTGCTGCAATCTGATGATTGATCCTCAGACAAGCCTAGGGCTTGAGCCCAGCAGCTCTCACCAGGATTAAACACTTAAGGAAAATAAAAATTACACAAGCAATTAGGTATGTAATGAATCATAGTATTGTTTGTGTTGCATGTGACATACTACCTTCCTAAGTGGACACCTAAGCTGAACAAAGTAGTAAACAGTGCTAATCCCAGCCAAAGCAGAGATATTTCAACCTGGAGCCTGTCTGGATGCCCACAGACATTTCAATGCCAAGGGTTAATGACGTAGTATTGCTCACTTGTAAGTAGGGGCTAAACTCTCTGCACTCTCAAAGTGCGTGGCTGCCCTCCTGCAGACTATGAACTGTGCCTTTACTTCCCTAATCCCCCAAACCATGCATAGGCTTTGTCAGGGTGAACATGCTAATGATTAAAAAGCCTGGGTGATTGATGGTGAGCCTGGAGATTTCCTGGCCTGATGCAAGCGCCTGAAGTAGCTGTTGGTGCGAGATTTGGCATCCCTCTCTGAGTAATGATAGAAAAATTTATTTATGCTCTAAAAAAAGCAGAGGAAAGTACCTAAGGTTAGGGTCATATAATTTCTAACGCAGAAAGTCAGTCAACATGTAGCCAGCCTGACACTAGTAAGCATCCCTAAACATCACAGACATCAGTAATAACTAAATCTGAGTTGAGAGCAGTAAAATGTGATTGATAAAGGAGACTAGCACAGAAAAAAAATATGATCAAATGGTATCTAGATAATGAACTCTATGGAGATCATTACAGACTTTCTTTCTGATAATAATTTGCTGCAGTAGCAAAGAAGCATCTACTTCACTGTAAAATGAGACATGCACCTCCTAAATTGCATGGGGTATATGGAGCAGTGCCTGCTGCAGGGATCCTCACTAGAAATGTTGTGACCAAAGGAAACAGCGTGTTTAAAAACTAAGGTTTTTTTAGTGTGTCACATAAAAAGGTGACCTTTTATGCTCATCAGCTAACAACAATCAAACCATGCCAAGGATGTCGTGCTAATCTGTTCCTTGCAGCCTATCAGCTGTGATACACATACAGTAACATCTGTTACTGGACAAGATGCAAAGGGACCTACCACAGAACTAAAGTGAAATAAAATTACATTGTCCCTAGAAAGTAAAGTTATTTCAACTTTGAAACACATGAAAACAACTGGTCTGTAAATATGAGCATGTTATACATTTGGGTCAAAGCAATTCTGTTTATTCACAGCACATATATATCTGTAAATGCAGGGCAGGTAACCTTTTTGCATTAGCACCTATGTTACTGGTTTGTCACAGTGAATTTTTATGTAATTTCATCTTGGGGGGCCACTGAGAGTAAAATTATTAAAAGCTCATAGAAATGTGAAGCAGAACTGTCAGGTTTAACTGTATGAATGGCCGCTGAACTACCCAGCAGCTTTTACAAGGTGAAATACTCCTCTTTAAGGGGCACTGTTGGATATGCAGGCTTGTCTGTGTTCAAAGAACCACTAGTCCTCTCTCCTAGTTTTGAATAAAGGGCTCCCAATGGCTCTAGAGCGTTGTATGGGCATTAGGGCTCCTGATTACTTTGACTGAGATGCTTCCACCTTTTCCAAGCTATTACCTCTTCAGCTGTAGAGAATGTTTCTGGGAAATTAAGCCTATATCTATCCTTTTCCTATAGACAATGGAAATGATGGTCCACAGGAGGAGCAATTAACATGAAGAGCTCATTCTTCACTTCAGCCCTTGGTGTTTCTGGAGGTTTTGTGCCACTTGCAAATGTTGCCTCATCTTCTTAGGAACTGAAAAGTCCCTCAACATGCATAGAACAGGGATGTCTTGCCCACTGACACCCAAGGTTCATGCACAGAGCACCCTCAGTGGAAAGCAGAGGAACTGAGAGCATTATTTTCAAAGTATGTCTTCCCTGTGCCTTGTCCCTGGCTTTTAATGATTCTGCTTGAAGCACTAGATACTCAGAATTTCTGAGTTTGCATTGCTGTATTTGCAGAAACATCTAAGCATTTTGAATATGCAGAAACCATCGACTGCAAATCCACTGGCTCTTGCCAGTTATATTTTAGGTCTGTGCCAAATGGGCACATGTTCTGGATGAGCTAACTTGAAATATAGTGGTGACATACACAGTAGCAGTTTCATTTAGGGCTATATTAGCAGCTTTTCTCCCTGTCATGCTTTGTGGTGATTCCATTTAAGAATGCCATGGAGGAAGAGGGTGGGTGGTATTATGAGTGCCTGGGGGATTTCCTAGCACGAGAACTGCTCAGTTGTGCTGCATTGCCCCTGTTCCCTCAGAGTCTCTTAAAGTCTGGCACTTAGTAGTGATGCTGCTGAGAGAACAGGCATATAGCTACTACGTGCAGCCTTCAAAGTGGGGAGAGGCTGGAGGTAACCTGGAGAGGAGGCACCATCCCTTGCATGGAAGGGCATGTGCTCATTACCTACAGAAGTCATACACTTAAGACTGCTGCTATTATTGCTGGTAAAATTAATAAATCACTGCTTTCTAAGGAGTAAGAAAGAAGTTTTTAATCTTGTGCTGACAGAAAATAATTGCAAAAATCAAGTTTGCCTTCTCCCACTGTGGTCTCAATCCTCTCTGCCTGATGTTGCTTGGGTCTTCTTGCCTTGCTGTTTTCTGTGTGGCTCTCTTCCTGGTGCTCTTGAGACTTCTGTGCATCAGAGTCGCACATCAAGAAAGAGATGAACCCTTGAGATGTAACAGCAGGGATGCTTTCAGCTTTCTTGCCGTTTAGCACAGGTTGCTGTGGCACTGAATGCCATGTGACTGGAAAGTAAACAACTCCAAACCTAGGGCAGATAGTTGCCAAAGCATTCCTTACTTATTTGATTTGGGGCTTTGTTCTACAGGTCCTGTGTGACAGACATGTGCGAGTGTCCAGTCCATAAAAACTGCTACTGTGAATCATTCCTGGCGTACGCCCGAGCCTGTCAGAGGGAAGGGGTGAAAGTCCAGTGGGTGCCTGAACACAACTGTGCAGGTAAGCATTTTGGGACTGCTTCTTTGTAAGTTACTGCATAGGCTAATAGGCTACTATCGTTTTATGGGTGGAGAAGGATCAAAAATGAACAGTCTAAAAAGGACTGGGATTGCACCAGCTTGGAAATTCTTGGAGGTTTTTCTTTCAGGATATGTAAACGGTTGATTACAGATAACGTTTAAACTCCTTCGACCTCCTGTCAAAGCACAGTTATATTTCAGAGACAACATGCATATATGATTGTGGTAGGTTCAAACAAGGGAAGGAGAGAATGTATTTAATGGGAATATTAAAAGGCAAACCTACAGCAATTTTGGTGCTTGAACCAGACTCCCCATGTGATTCGGACTGTATTAATTGCAAGTAATTGTGAGTAATTGTTTCCGTGAGAAGGGGTAGCCTGTGGTTATGGGCACTTGAAGTAAAATGCAATATTGCAGATAAATATTTCCCCTGATGATGGTTTCATTAATTTAGGACATTCTGTAATGGCATCAGTTTGCCTGGAAATGTATTCAGATTTATGTAAAGCAATTGACAGTAATTGAGTGAAAAAAAGGAATGAGGGAAGGATACACAATGCTGGTCAAAAGCTATTACTCTGTGGTACATTTTGGTGATTATGTGTGGTTCAGGGTCTACTCTCTTAACTTCAATTTCCTTTTCTGTTGAAGGCATTTTAGCAGAGATGGGTGAGTGACAGAGGAAATTATATTTGATTGACTGTTGCTGAAAGGATTTTTTTTTCTTACAAAGGAACAGAACAATCCAAACAGGGTGTCACTAAGTGAAAACCATATTCAAGAATGTGGTCTCAGCACTAATAACGTATATAATTTTCATCTATTGATCTGGTAGCAGATCCATGTGGAACCTGAAACAGGCATCCTGCCTTTTTTTTTTTCCAAAGCACTTCAGACTAAGACCTCACTGTGACAGGTGCTGTAAAAAGAATAAAAACTCCAGTCCCTGCCTTAAGGAGTTTATACAAGTGTTGACATATCACGACTTAACTAGTTGAGGCTTCATTTCACAAATTTTTTCTGGCATTTTACCAAAGACAAGAAAAGTTTCTGAGAAAAAACAGTCCTTGAGAGAACGTTATGAAGGAATTTAAACACACGGCTTCCATTAAAGCTAATGAAAGAAGTGTTTAAATCCACACAAGTTTTTTAATCTCAGTGCAGACTTCTAGAGGGGAAGGGGAAATCTTGTTAAGCAGAAAATATAGATAAGCTGCTATGGCTTAGTACCCTCAAAACACTTTTAAGTATCCAATATCAAACAGGTAGCACCATCTTCTACAGTAAATCATATGGTAAACATTAAATTAAAGTGCATCCACTAGACTATTTAGCACCAGTGTCCAGCATCAAGATTTTAATCTTTTACTTACTTTTCTTTCTCCAAAACTAGTAGTTACAATTACTGTGTCTTAATTACAGATAAATGTTCCTAAGTAGGAAACAATTTATCCATAATAAAACTTTAGCATTCTGTGACTTTCATTTCCTGCTTAACATTTCATGGTTGGTGGGATACTTGCAAGACTTGTGTTCTGAGGAAAATTAGTAAAGTCAGGCTTTAGTTATACTTTTATGTATTATAAAACCAGACATTGTGTGATTGCCAGTTCAGGGTAGATTGCCTCTACCCCGGCTGCTGTATGCTTAACTTATTTTTATAATTTTCAGAAAACTTGTGTTGTCTGGAGGGCCAGCCAAACAGAAAGTTGAATTATGTCCTGTTCCCTACCTGCTCTTCTCTCTCCTCCAGTGTAACAGAGTATCCTCCTCTACATTCTCCATGAAATACTGCTGCTCAAGGTTTTCTGTCCTATGAGGCTGGCTTGATAAGGGAAATGTCAGCTATCATTTAACTGGAGGAGTGATGACTAGAAGCTAATGAGTAACGAAAATGGTTAGGGTAGGAAAGGGCTGGTGAGATCCATGTAGGATCTGAGAAGGTTAGGAAAAGGATATGTGTTTCCATAGGAAGTAATGGGAAGTAAGACCTGTTAGGCTGAGCACAGGAAGAAATGTGATTTGTGAAGGAGGAATTAAAAAAACAAGAGAGGCAGCATGACAGAAAGTGATAACCTGCAAGAGGGAAAAGAAAGGATGCAAATGGAAGGAAGAGGTTTGAAAAGGAAAGGAAATAGAAAATTAAAAGAATTTTTTTAACCCAAGAAAGGATAAGCAAGCAGTTTATAAAGTGCAATTAAGTAAACTGAAGTGGTGAAAGGCCTTGAGCCATAGTAATTTAACACTGGATTTCTGAGACACTGAGAAGAAGACTCAAGGATGGCAGATGGCAGTAACTCCCTGCCATGGGCATGACTACACAGACAAGAAGAAAAAGTCAGATAAGGACTATAATAAAGTGCAAAGTACACATGGTAGCATTGATGTGCTGACATACTCTAACAGCTTCATAAAAACTGAACAATTTTCTCTTTTTCCTATGTGATCAGTTGAAGTGGAGGAAGATGAGTGTATATCTGATTTTGACTCCTCTCTTTTGGGTCCCTTCTTCTCTGCTGTAGAATTTTCTGGCTATATGTTGTTTTCCTTAAACTACTTTATTCCATGTGTATATGTATCAAGAGGCTATTCTGGCTTTTCAGTGGAAACTTATTAAAAGCTCAGAAAGTGATTTGAGGAAGCTCACATCTGTCATGCCAAACACATGTTCTAGAATAAGAGTGGAAAAATCCTGTTGTGACTGGTAATGTTGCAAAATACAGTATTATTAGTAACTTTTGTACTTTGGAGTTGGGTTTTTGATTTTTTTTTTTTGCTAGTGTACTAAGGAAGTTATTAGTAACAGAGCTCAGTTCTTTAAGAGACGAATTTGCCTTAAAAGATGGGTGCAAAGACGACACTTCTGTTTTCCATGTTTACATGGTACTGAATCATTTCAGCAATCCCTGGGAAGCCTACTGCAGAATGTCTTTGTTCTGTTTTTTAAACTGTTGATGAAGTGGAATGTTCTGAATCAATCACGCCACATGTTAACAAGTGAATCACAACAATAAAAGTAATCCAGGGAACTTAAACAGCAGCCATTGTACTTTTCTGATTTTTCCCTTGACAGCATGTTAATAGTGCCATTAGAAATGCCTACAGCAGAAAATAAAGTCATCATATCTTCTACATGGCATCATCTGAAGTAAAAGGAGGTGTTTTGACATACCACATCCATGTGTGGAAGAGCAGAGCTAGGGAGTACTTACAGATGCAACGACTGCTGAGGGCAGGCTGTAATATGTTCTCATTTGCTCTGGGGCAGAGATGAGGAAGTGTAAAGAAGTGTAAAGGAGACCTTGGCCAACTTTCTTCAAACCTGCTGGCTGAGGAGCCAAACTGTGCTCAGGTGGAATGAACAGGCCATTGCTGCAGTAAAGCTTTGTGGGGTGAAACTTGTGCAGCCTAAAACTGAAGCTCATAGACCTTTCTATATGGAAACCACATGTAGTGAAGCCTAATGTTTCTCGGTTTGGTTGGTCTATTAGAGATACTTCAAAGGGAAGCTCCTTTTCTGAGAGGTGGGATGAAGGCTGCTAGTAAACCACCTCCTTAAGATAATTCACATTGTGTGTAGACAATCACTAACTGTCATTGTACGTCTTGGTCTACTTTTCTAGAAAGTTAATACATTGCTTGCAAAGTTCCTGGGAGTTTTGCACATTTTTGTTCCCCTCTTATAGAGATTCTTAACACACTACTTAAGCGTGGAGTTTCTTGTGAACCTAAGATTTTACTCTATGCTCACTATTGCGTGCATGTTTTCCCCACCTTTACATTTCTTGTTTCATTTAAATTTCCTTTTAGTTATTCCTTTTGTTTGTTCCTTCTTTACTGTGCATGAAGGTTATCATGCACAGCAAGATAAAAATGTAAAGCTGGAAAAAATTTCTCAAAAGATCTATGTCCACAAACCGCATAAGTCTATTGTGAATATTGCTGAAAAATGTTTTTTCCAACTTATTTTAAAATGATGTTCAATTAAAGATGTCTCACAGAATTTTTAGGTAGGTCACTCTGGTGCTTTCTTATGCTTAAAGCTAGAAAGCTTTTTTTTCCCCCTGATACCTAATATCCATCCAATATTAGTGGCTGATTCTCTGCAGCTCCAGGGTAAATTTCTTCTGTACTATCCATTTTTTCCAATTTTGTCTTTGTTTATTAATATCTGTGTCCTGAGAACTGTGCATGCATTCTTGCCATAATTCCTTCTTCAGGGCTTCTTTTCAGATATGTATAAATTCCATAAAATGCACAAGAAATAAGACTTACAAGAAGGTGATGCTGGTTTGAAGATCCCTCTGTTAGTGGTGAGAAGGAACCCCTTAAATTTATGATGCCTTAGCAATAAGTCTTCCAACCTCTTTGATAAATTTTTATACATATTTAATCAATTTATTTCTGTATATTTTCTCTTTATGAATAATAACAGTATTGTAATGACACTCTAAGCCAATCCTCACAACAAAACAGCATTTTCTGTCCATAACAGAACTGTTCTTTAGAAAATCTCAGCCTTCAATCTCTTTCAAAATTGAAGAAACATTCATAATGCAATCACCTCTCTGAAAACAGCAAGAGATGATTCCAGATGCTTGAAAGTCCCTTACCATCTAGAAACTATTTTATCAGTACTTGTTTTTGCCATCAGCACAGCCGTTAAAAAGAATAACAGACTTTTATTAGCTATTGAACCATGTATTATTCTCCATACTAAAAAGGCAGGATAGAAAATGTTGAGAGTTTAAATATTGATCTGGAGGGGTTATAGTGCTTTTAGCTGAGCCTTAGTGGTCTTTTATGCTGGAAATGCATTGAACTGTCAGCTACATAAATTAATGAATAGATACTGGAATCATTAAGTACAAGAATCCTCATTCTCAGTGATCCCTTGGTTAAATAGCATGAAGCATGGACATAATGGGGTTTTAAATTTATTTTTTTTTTTGCTTGTTTTAGAAATGGTGCTGCTGGATTAACAGCATTGATTTGCTTTGCTGCAGTATAAAATATAGAAAGTATAATCTTAGGAACAGAAAGTCTAATGTGGTGACTCTCCTTTCTCCTCTTTCTGTAGGAGTAAGGCTGATAAAAACTGTGTCCATGTAAATGTTTCAGAAATCTTTGATAAAAGCATTGTAATAAATAAATAAACAGTGTTAATCCTTAAATACAAAGCATAGATCTGCTCATAGACAGAAACACTGCCAAAGCTTTATATACCATCAGCCGTGCTAAAATCCTCAAAAAGTTCAAGACTGTGGGGGACTTGATACCTTTTTGATTAGGAATTTTTGCTACCTTTATATTCGTGATATAATACAGTGGAATATTTCCACAAGTAATTTTTTCCTCTAGATGATTGTCATACCAAGATGTGCTTTTTAATATTTGCATTAGAAACCAAGCAAACAGATAAGCAACTTTCCTTGTGGGACTCTGTGTAATATGCCTATCTTGTTCCTTTTAACTGTCTTGCAGCAACTCAGTGTAAACACGGTGCAGTTTATGATACCTGTGGTCCAGGATGTGTCAAAACATGTGACAACTGGAACGAGATTGGGCCATGCAACAAACCCTGCATTGCAGGGTGCCACTGTCCAGCAAATTTAGTTCTTCACAAAGGAAGATGCATCAAGCCAGTCCTGTGCCCACAGCGATGACATTAGTTCTCCTTCCGCGGACACTAATGCGGGTGGTCACTGACCCCATTGATGCTCACAGCCAGTGAAGGACTCCAGCTGTTTGTGTGTAGATTCTGCAAAGAACACATCTACTCACAGAGTGTAAATATGCTCCTGTGTGTGTATTATGTCTCTTTATGTATACACACATGGCACCTAGAAAGATATATAAATGTATACTGTGTGTATGCAGATACACATATCCATACACAAGTGCCCTAAACGTAAGAACAACCCATATATTTATATATATGTCCACACACAAATATACATAATTTCTATATATCATAAAAGGATGAATTATAATATGTATATTTTTTGCTATAAAGTTTATGTATTATTATTTCTAGGACCCTGATCTGTAAGTCATTGTATAAATAAACCAGGTGTTTTTAATATAATATAGTGGCATGAAAAGATTGGATGACTTTGCCATTGCATAAGTTTGTCGTTTCCAAGGAAACTTTTCTAGGGCCAAGGACTGCCAGACTGGATTAGTTTCAACACAGAACCTGGATTTACAGTTGTACAGGAAACACATTTCTCTGGAGATGGAGGATTTATCTAGGAATATTTCATGCGTACCTTAGAGCTGCATAGTGATTGGTGACAGTGCTTAATCAGGCAGAGAAAGCAGGGGATTGGCTTTTATGCATTACTGAAATAACTGTGCAAAATGATTTCCAAAGCTGGTTGGACAGCTGCCAGCATAGAGATATTTCTTTCTGGAATGGCACCAAAGAGTCAGGGGCCAGATTTTCAAAAGTGTTCGGCACCCAGCAGCTCGCTTTGAAAATCTGACCACTTCCCGTTTCATATCCTAATGCCACATCTCTGTTGCTGTGTTTGGCAGTAGCTGTGAATACACAATAAGGAGCTTGAAGAAAAGATTCATGTACATATTAGCCCCTTTAACATGTTTGAAACTGCTGCGTTTGTTTCATGTTTCCCCCAAATATTATGCAGAAAGCAAATCCCATGGTGAGGTGTTTGATTTCAGTGTGCCTTAAAACATTAAATAATGCCAGGTATAGTAACTTAATTAATTTATCTGTATGGTTCAGAAGAAAGACAAATTCACCCTATGAAAAAACAGTAGACAATGTCAGATGCTAATTGTAGAACTGCAATTTATTTCCTTAGTGGTCTTTTGGTTGAGGTTTATGAACATGTGGGCTCTGTGAAGTTTGCATGACTTTTGAAATCTCCCAGGGGAGAAGCAATAAGATGGGATTTCGTTAGAAACTGTTAAAAAAGCCATACAACTTTCTCAAGCCTGAAGGGACAGGGGGCTATTTTTCTTCCACTGGAAAACCTCTTGTAGAGCCTGATGGAATGGTCTCTGGGGATGATAGAAATCTTTGGGCATCTGATTTAGGTTTATAATGAAGTAATATCCTCCCACACAGCTACTTCCATCATGCCTTGCACTGAAATTGCACATTGTAATGCTTTGAACAACTTTCTCCTTTAATTCTTTACTCCCAGGAAGTTAAGCAGAGTCTGAGTTTATAGTAAGTGAGTGGGTGCAGCACACAGGTTAGATAACCTGTCTGTGATCCCATCCTGGAGGAAAATGCTGAGTGAACCAGGTTAACTTAGGCACCACACTGTCCAAAATGCTGTACCACCACAGTGTTAGAAGAGCTGGGCATATAATGCCAATAGTGTTCTGTGGATGTTCATCCAAATCTTAAATAAACTCAGCTTGATCATTTTATGTCCCCTTTGTGTTCATTTTCTCAGAACAATCAAATAACTCAGTTTTACTGGCAGGGAGAATTTCAAAGATGCAGACACAAGTGCACTGGGAAGCAGAATTGCAAACGTGCAGATCCCATTAGAGCAGGAAACTTTAGAAGAGTTTTATGTGGCTCATGTGATAATTGAATGGCAGAGTTGAAATTTAGAACGATTGCTGCTGGTCCAAAGAGCTAAAATATAAAATGACAATCATTAAAATAATTAAAAGCATCAGTTAGCCTGAAGAGCATTTCAGACTGTGAGTTTTCTATGTTGAAATATGGGGTCTAAACCATTAAAAAGAATATTTGCCTAGCTTTTGTTTAGAATAGATTTTCATTACTTACTGCCCAGTCTTTCCAAAATAAAAATACAGACAAAGTGATTGAATTGCATACATGAACAGTGTATAGATCTGTCCTTCTCTTTTCTCCTGGCTGATGAAGGTGAGTGAAAGGTGAAGGGAGAGCCCTCCAGCTCTCTCAGTCCACCAATCACATCCAAGCAATGCTTAATTGATGCCAGGTGAAGAGGTGGCTCAGTCTTATCTCTGGGATATTTAAGGTATTTTGTAAATCTTAAAATGGTTCAGTTTGAAACCTGACCCACAGGTCATCTCAAAATGAGAACTCATTCCCCAGTTTCACTTTTTCACATCTTCCTAATTAAGGGTAGGCCCTTGCTTTTTGCTATAGTGATGTAGACTGAGAAAGAGAGGGAAGTGGTTTTACCTCTGAGCTGACTGATTGTGCCCTTATGGCACTGTAGAGCTTTTTCCTTCAAACTCCATAGTTTTCAAGGCAACAGTAAGTGCTATCATCTATCTGCACAGTTCACATGTGCCATCTAAGATAAAGGAGTTCTGCTTTTCTAGAAATTGCACCCAGTTTTCAACTTGGCACAGGTTTTATATCTATATCCGTCATTACCCTGTGCCTATCTGAACTATTGAGACCAGATCAGTCCCAGCTGGGCCAGTCTCACTTTGCTCTTCTGTTTCCCTCTCTCCTTCAAGGGCATTCAAAAGTTGAAAGTCTAACCTAATACTGTCAATTACAGCATTACCAGTGGCTTCATAGAGTTTGGGTTACAGCCCATCTTCCTACTGTGTTTGCTTATGAAATATTACCCCTAGAATGCTAGAGCTGGAAGTTTCCTGTATATTACTGTGGAGTTATTTGTGACAAAATTCACTGGTAATCCAATTTTAGTATGCTAAATGTGTGTAGTATGCAATAATGTTTTTTAATAATAGCATAAAGTTGATAATCCATATGGCATATTCACCATGCAAAAGTGATGGTTGTCTAAGTTTTGGTCTAGATAATGCTTATGTCAATCTGTGCATATAACTTTGTGCCAGTTTGCAAGGTGAAATATGTTTGAGAGAGCAGAGGTTCCAATCAATGGATGATCCAAAAAGAAAGTCTGAGAAACACCTCTGTAATGCAACAGACAGAGTCAAGGAAAGATTTGAATCAATAGTTTTGCCATTAAACTGCCATGTGTTCTCTGGCAAGTCATTTAATATTCTGTATTTCATTGGGGAAATGAGGTCTGGATTTATGCATCTTTTTTACATGTATGGATGGAAAATGTTCTAAAATGCCATACATCACCAGGGGAATGTCAGCAGGTATTTTACCAATCTATTCAAGTCTGCTTTGTACTAGGTTTTCCCATCCCTCCCATATCATCATCACTTGAAAGTCGGCTTTTAGTTGGCATGCGTGGAGGTCAAATATATTTACTTCCTTCTCATGTACTTTCAATTGTGTCTATTTTTGTCATATATATTGAGTTTTATAAACCATGGAGACAAGCCATAGCCAAGCAACAATTTGAATTGTAACCCAAGAGTCTGTAGGTACTCTCACATCTTCCAAGAACAGTTTTCTTCTATAGAGTAAGGTATGCACTTGGACAAAATAAAATATTCTTAATGTCTGACCTGAATGTGACACCATCCCTGCATTACATAACTAGTTTCCAGTAGATAACCTAAAAGAAGTCAGCTCTTCTCATCTCTTCTGCTTTTTTTTGAACACAGGATTCAAATACAGTTTGACGCTGCCTGGCTTCCCACTGACAGAACCTGACAGTTGCAATAGCTGGTCTGATCTTGAGTGACTGTATGGGAGTACAGTGGTTTGCTTTTTTATGCCTTCATCAAAAGTGGGCAAGGTTATGTCAGAACTACCAGATATGAGAATTACAACTCATGCATTTGCAGCTGGACAGGCTAGAAAGAGAGTTGGGCAACAGCATCTAGCACTGAAGTGAGGTGATTAACTATTTTAGGACCAGTCCCAGCTAAGTGGCATTATGCCAAGGTCTCAGTATTTGACAAACAGGAACATTACATTACATCAAATGCTTGTTCTGCTATCCTTGATTTTACCATTTTTAGAAAGCCCTGTGGCAAGAGAGATGTTTCTGCTCCCTTACAGGAGCATTTCTAGTCTGCAACTGCAAATGTTTCAGGACACAGGCCTAACTGTGCTCCCATATGGGTATTCCTTTACTTTCTGTGTAAAAGTTGTTGCATAGATTAATATTCCAAGTGAGATATCACCATGACATCTGAGTACCAAAGACAGTCTAACAACAAAATAAGGTTCTTCTGTGAACATGAGATAGCTCTTGATTCCTTACATGGCCATGACACTGTATTTGAATGAAGATGGTACAGAAATGTGAGGAAGTAAAGAGGCAGGATGACAGAATAAAGGTAAGAGGCAAATGAGAAAGAAGAAAACATAATAGCATTTGTTTCTATGTAGGTATTTCCCTTGAAATGGTAAGAACTAAACTGAAAACTTTCTTTGACAAAGGTAAAGAACTAAGACTTCCTGATAAGAAAACAATCCACCAACCACCCAAAACCCCAATACAATGACAGTGGAATTGTATGTTGAGTTAGTGTTTATTGGTAGATATAGAAATCCATAATTAAAGTTATGAGAGTCTGTCTATTCCTGCTTTTCTCACAACTGTTACATCACCTTTGAAAAGGTCACCAAAAGAAAGGGATTTTATTTCTGGATTTGAGATGATCAAACATCTGCAGAATTAATTTCTCACGCTTCTACTAATACAACAAACCTGGTTTAGTTTCCTCCAGGATATGTTTTAGTGAACACACATCATCACAACTGTCAGAACAAAGGCTACAAATGCAGCTTTATAACTAGTCATGTTCCAGGCTTTGAGATAAAATTGCAAGTTCTATGTACTACTAATAAGGTGCAAGTCATCTTTTTGACAACACCTCTTTTGCCAGGCAGAAACATTACGTGGCATCAAGCAGCGTTTTAGAAACTACAAGCAATGTTAAATAAGACATATAGCATTTACTATTTGCATGACTTTACCCTTTTCATTGTGAGTTATGAGTTAATGCTAGCCCTGCACACGGGAGGAAGTTGGCTCTAAATGTGTGGTGGGAGAGGGGTGGCATTATATGATTACATTATCGTTAATAGTGCTTTCTATTTCCCTAAGTGATGCTTATCCCTGGGCATCAATATAGCTTGGCTTTGCACGTGAATGTGAATTGATGAGAATGTAGGAAGTTCTTGCCCAGACAGACTCACTTTTTTTTCCTCTTCCTTATCCAGTGGTGAAGAAATGCTTCAAAGAGCAGTATGTAAGCCTCATAATGGACAGCGATGCAACAACCTGTTCATAGTGGTAATTTAGCCTTATACTCTAGCAGTAAGTGGTTGGTACTTTAACGACCCAATTGTTCAAAGCACTTAACTATGCTCAAACTTTGAATAACCTCCTTTGCTTCAATGGGGCAACATGCATGCTGACTTCTAACCACATGCTTAAATGGTTTTCTGGGTCAGGGCCAGAGTTCGGCATCTGGCAAGATCAAATATTAAATCTCATGATATTTTGTATTTCTTCATGATTTCTATGCATCTATCTATTTTATGATCACGCTGCTATGTACTGCTAGAACATCATACAAGTTAAGGCTTTTTG